CGATTAAATTCACATTTTCGCAAGTTAGGAATTTTTTTGTGTCGACTTTGGAATCGGATGTAATCTTTGGCGAAGGTCTTGAATCAATTCAATCCGTAATTCATCTTAATCATGGGCATTCTGTAAACAAATTAACATTTTTCGAGATATATTTTCGTTAATGATGATCACAATTTACCTCCTCCATGTGAATCGATCTGGCGATCTGGCGATCTGGTTGAGAATTTCACGTTCTCGGATTAATGAATCATAGTATCGGAAATTGATGCGATCTCATTATTTCCAGTATATCAGAGATCCAGCATTAACTAATTACTATCGCATCATTCGATACGGAACCCGGCAAAAAAAAGTGAGATCACAGTGTTCCGACTTGTTTACACCAATTTTGCCAATTTATCCTTGAGATTTGAAGCGCTTTTCTTCGTCGACAATAACATCGAGTTCATATTTCGTCTGGCGACCAACTGGTAGATCAATCACATAATAGTAAAAGTAACATTACATCAGCGTGTGGTAATTGTTGACCCTGAAATGCTCATATGACAAATCGAACAAAGCACTCAACTCGTTTTTCATTCAAAAGAAAGAAAAAAAAGCGAAAATGTCATCGAAAAAAAAAAATCAAAACACGCCTGTATCAGCCAACTGTTGGCAGCCGGTAAATAATCCGACTATAATGCGGTGATCTAGGCACCGTTTGTGGCCGTTGTTTTTATCGATCAAATTTTTTTTTCACTCACTCTCTTGTCGCCGTAATTACTGTGAAAGCCTGTAATTAGAATGCAATTGCTCGAACGATGACAAAGACTTAAAATGAACCGTTCGCAACCACTTTGGGCTCTTTTATTCGGTATTTGTTACGTTTTATGTCAATTCAGACGATGCATCTGTCGTGGCGTATTTTTTCCATTTCAACTCAATGAAATGTGCACTTTAATTTAAATCGAAATGTGACAATCGTACGATTTTCTCGGTATTTTTCTTTTCAGTCAAAACATATTTTGCTTCGTACACAGAAACACACGTTCAAATGAATTTTTTTCGTTTATCTGATGGTGATAAGTAGTAATTTGGCTTTTGGTTTTTAATTGAAAATGTAGTGCGCAGTAATAAAATGCTACACCTACATCCTACGGGCACAAAATCATATGGAAAAATCGTGCGTATCCATTTAGTGGTGTTTGCTTTGAATCGATTGAATGATTTTTGGTCAGGCATATGCTCGCCTCATGGTCTCGTGGAATCGACAGATGAAACACAACGTTGACGCATTTTGGCCGGTCAAAACTGAACAATTGAATTCAATGAATCACACGTACGAAAATGGTCTTAACGAACACAAGTATTCACACTGTGAATTTCACAGCAGAAAAAAAAAGCAAAAGGAAATGGAGGATTTAAATGCCTCGTGTTGTATGTGGACGATTTCATTTTCATACGATTCACCAAACTGCAATGCATTTCATTCATTTCTTTCTTTTTGAAGTTTCGAACTTTTTCCATTCCTCTTTTCAGCTCTTTTAATTCACTTTTGTTTCTTTGTGGCTTTATCTCTGCATCGGAAATCGCACTTCAAAAAATCATCGATTATTATTAATTGCTTTCAGTTTGTACGACAATCAACCACAGCTGACATATGACGAAACCGTTAACTTTACCGCCACGGCACATACTTTTACAAGACGAACAGGAAAAAATACTTTCAACAATGAAATGAAGAGAAAAAAAACTTCACACTTCTGATTGACTTTAATTAATTATCAAAATTGATCATAAAACATTGGGCTTTGGTTGGTGAAAACAGCAGTTAAAAAATGGAAAAGGATCACATATGGTTCACACTTCTTTTTCTAGTGAATTCAATACCTTATTTGAAATGAAGCCAATTTTCAACAGAAGCTGCTGCTGTTCAACAGCAATCGTTAACGGTCGAGACGATGAAGTGATTAATTTTGAATAAAATGAAATTTTGAAGCTTATCCATTCCTTTCATTTAAAAACGGGGGAAAATTGCGGAGTTCATCAATTTTCGAGGCGAAAATGTAACATTATTGAGGGCTTCCTCCAGAAATGTTACACTTTCCATCCGAAAATATTTGTGATGAAAAGGCAACACACGCGGCTATCTAAAATCGATTTTAATGTGCTTTGATGCAATTATTAATGTTGTAATCAGCGATCAAACGCTACAGCGCCAACGAAAACCAAATGGCATATTGTATGCGCGGCGTGTTGGGTGTCAAATGTTTGTTAATGGTTTATTTAAAGTAACATCAAATTGTATCTAGCTTCAATATTTCAAGCTATTAACTTCTAGATCAAGCGCTAAAACAATTGGGCCGCAACGATTTCAAAACCCGAATAAAAAGTCACCGTCCATATAAAGTCACACTCAATAAAAATTCTAGTGACAAAATAACTCAATTTGACTCGATAGATGTGTTAAGCACAAGAGCAATGGGTGTCATAAAATATATGTTTCGACGCGTTGATAGCAATTACCTTTTCTTAAGTATCAACAAAATCAATTTTAACTCGTCGACGATGTTCGTTCCAGATGCATACGATTTCCTGTTTCGATTACGGCCACATTTCGTTTTATCTTGAGCGCATCTCATGCGACAAGATACCCAAATAAAATAATAAATACAACGGAAAATTACTCATTAACATTGGACAAGATTGAGCGGTCAACAACGAGCTGGACCACTCAATGTGTGGCTTTTGATGTCTTTATTTCCCGCGCAAGTCACTGCTATATATTGCTGCCACACAGACAACAAGCGTCTTTAATTCACCGACAAAAAAAAGATCACCGCAAAAAAAACTCATCCGTCGGATTTTCATTAATCAATTGAATTTGAAGGGATAAAAGACGCAAATCATACATACAACAATTATTATTTCAATTACAGCCTTTGATTAGGTCGTTGAGAGCAAAAAAAAAGTTATTGATTTCGTTAGAATTAAAATTCAGGCGATTCGTCGTTGCCCGACATCTAAACGAATATTAAACGCTTCACAATGAGTTTGTCTATTTCATGTCTATTATTATTTATTGTTCATTGTTTTGTGTGTGTGCGTCTCTTTTTGAAGCCTTTAATTCTCAAATCAAGACATACAAATTGAAAATGAAGCAATTCGCCGACCATTGATTATTGGTGGCGCATTGACGACATACCAACATACACAAAGAGCAAAGTTGCCGCATACATTTTGAACGAATCAATTTACTTTTTTTCTTCATTTCTTTTCGAAAAGTGGTCAAAATCAGATTTCATTTCACTAACAAAAAAAAGAAGAAGATATAAATACAAAGATTAATCGAAAGGTTATCAGCACATGAATCGACATCATCGATCGCCCGAACGCAACATTTATGTATGATTTTCCGGCTCTTGCATCGATCCGCCGTATCTTTAACAGAGGTGTGGCAAACGGCATCATTAAAAAAAACAACAACTAAAAAGAAAACGCCGCTTCCAAAACGCAAAACCAACAGAGAAAAAAAGACAACGTCTCTCTCTCTCTTTCCGTCTCACCCGCTTTTGCCGAATCCAGCACAATCATTCAAATTAATATTTTTTTCATTCGCTATCTCCACTCTGTCCACCAACATTATCCATTCCATTTTTTTCTCGTTCGATTGTTTAGTGGGAAAAAATATGGACAAACGAAATTTATTTTTTTGTTTATGAATGGCTAAAAGGAGACGAATGAATGAAACGAATTTCAAATTACGACATTTTAACGATAAAATCAACGAATACACACACACACACACTAAACAGGATGAAATCGCTCAAATGGATACATAATTTGAATTTGATTGTGTGAATATCGATATAATTGTGCAATTTATAAGATGAATTTTCTTCTTCTTCTTTTTTTTCTAATGGACATTAAGTCCATTTTGAACAGAAAAATACATCTGCGTTGCCTGAAATTTGTCACAGGCATTAAACGCCTTACACACAGAATAATGCATGCAAACGATGCGATCAAATGTATTTATTCACTCGTAATTATGATTAACATTTTGTGGTTTTGGGTGTGTGTTTCAGTTTTGTATTGTATTGTTAGCACTTTGTCACGGCTATACCCATCGATAAACAATGTCGCTTCATATTGATTTTTCTTTCTTTTTTAGAATATAATTGCCAACTCATCATCACCATGCATAATTTAGATTATATTTGAGGCTATTGAGTAGAGTTTGAAAAGACATGCATCCGAATTGAGAAATTCCACCAGATAAAATCTTGAGAAAAAAAATGCAATTTAATGAAATTTTTCACACTTTAATATTTTTCTATTGATTTTTGATTTGATTCTTTTGTGCGGCAATCAAGCGGAACGAAGACCAAAAGCAAACGATCTATTCAGATTCATAGTAGGCAACCTATGGTAGTGGCTATCTTTACCAAATTTGTCAGACCGATGAAATTCTACCTTTGGTCTACGGTATTTGACTTTTTAAATGGATTTTAATTAGTTTTGTGAGTAAATATAGCTGACAGCCTGTTCAAGAATTGTTATTCAGTTCGAAACAGTTTTGCCTTGGAATGATGGATGGTTTCCATAAATATGACTTTCTGTATCGATTTTCCGCACCATCTTGTTCGATCAATACCTACATTTTTCTTAGTCTGTGCCGCAGACAGTGGTTTCACTTCAATTATTCACTTAAAAAGCTACCTGTTACTTTTGTCGATCGGTGTTGAAATTCATCTTGCTTCAAATTCGAATAATTTCAAATTTCAATTTAAAACAAACAAAAAACTACGATGGTCGACGGCTTGTTTGTTTTTTCTTCTGATTTTCGGTCGATTTTCTCCACTTGTTTCAAGTGATAATTGGAAAACAATCGACCGAAATAAATTTGTTCGTTGAAAGGTGTTTTAGGTGTTCGATTAAGCCTTGTTTGAATATCAATTGGCTACCGTAAAATAGAATTTACGAAGAAGAAGTTGAAAAAAAACCCAAATCAAATCATGTTTGTTTTTACATCAATTTATTTCATGCATTTTGTGCTCGTCACATCAACGAGTCGAATATATGTATCAGACTCACAATAATTTCCAATGAATTATTTGTGGATTTTATTCATTTAACAATGAAAAATCAACCAATTGAAAAAGTTAAAGAATTAGAGTTAAGGAAAATACGAAATCAATTACAAATTTCACCGAATTGTTTAAATGAAGCGGTGTTTCCGTTAACGAGAAAACGTTTTTTTGTGTTGTTAGCGATGCAGTTTCCGTGATTTATCGTGTTACTTCTTTCGTTTTTTCAGCGGAGGCAAGCCACTGTCGAATTCCGATGTTGATAAACTAATTGATTTCGATACGAATTTGGCGAGACCAGGCGCTGGCCGTTTTATTCCGTTCTGTTTCACAGTTTTTGAATCAGTTACTCGTTCCGATTTTTTGGTTGTCGATCTAAAGAGAGAGAAAAGAAAGAAAAAAACGACAGGAAATTGAAATTTCGTCTTGTTAAGTAGACGTTTGGTGAGTATTTTTTTAGTTTGAGCGCTGTTTAATTACCTGTCGGTGTACGTTAATCGATTCTGTGGTAACGGCGCTTTTGGCTTGCTAAACTCTTTTGTAAATGATTTCGGTGGTTCGCGCAACGCTAAACTTTTTGCGTAATGACCCATGTGCGCATTTTTCACATTGAAAATGTGTCGCAAATCTTTTGGGAACGATGATATGTAACGTAACCATGACACGAATGCTGTTAATGAGATCACAAAGAAACGGAAGAATTATTTATTTGTCTTAATAAATTTAATAGAAATAATGTGGTATTTTTGGTGGCAATTTGTTTTCGGAAAATTACATTTAATGATGACGCCGAGAGAACGGGTGAAATCGGACGAGTGCGAGAGAAAAAGAGTGAGACACAGGCTAAAGCGACAAAAAGTGTCAGTTCGAGTGATGAAAAAGAGGAAAAAGCCAATCATCCAGTAAGTCGATGGAGAAAAATCGTGTTCAGCCTTCTGTTCACACCGTTAACAATGTGTGGATGGTAATATGTTTCGGAAAATGCTGCTTCCATTGCCTCAATCTATCATCAATTGTGCGTGTTCGGCAACATGCAACAGGCAAATGCATTTGAAGAGACGGAAAGTGAAGAGCGAAGCAGAATATTCACCAATTATTTTATATTTTTCTTCTTTGTCCAAAGAAAAATCGTTCAAGGTGCTTGCACTTTCGCCACTACAATGTTGCTGCGTCAAACGCAAGAGGGAGTGCATAAACTAAAACAATTGGCTTCATGGCTGCAATCGAAGACGCATTGAGAGAGATAGAGAGAAAGTGCACGAACGAGAAAAAATCGGAAACGCAAGAAGGACGCATAATTATTGGTTGGTGTTTATTGTAAACGAAACTCAACGGATGCTCACACCTTTGACTAAAAAGTCGGCACTTGGCACAATCAACAAAAACAAAATGGAACTATAATGTGAGCCATCCATCAAAAGACCGCGCCAATCATCATCACACTCACAATAGGTGTGTATGTTGACTTTTTTTTATCTGGTAAATGGACAATCACATGACAAAACAGAGATGCCATCGAACCGCGGGGCTCGATAAAATGACATCATTTTTACACACAAGTCCAAACCATTAAAAACAACTTAAAAACCAATAAAATGATTTTTTTTCTATTTGTATCTGTATCCGCGCTCCTTTTTTGTGTTGGCCTTTTCAAATTGCTATTAATACTTCCACCTTGTTTGGCACCATCGATTTTACGGACACCACACACACACACAATTATCATTCGATTAAAAAAAAAGATATTTCTAATGGTTTTCCAAAAATTTTTGATGAATGCGACAAATGGCACACACACACACACACACACAACGGAATCGAAGGTGTACGGCAATTAGACCGAAGAAAATCGATTTTTCAAACGACACACGTTTCCTCTTAACAATTTTGAAAATTTAATCAAAAACATGAAATATGTTCTCATTAGCCGCGTTTGGCTTGTCCATCGCAATGCTGTCAAATGGAACAAAAACCCAATGACACTAAGCAATAATTGCCAGAAAAACTGTACATCGAAATTGAAATACAAACAAATTGCTATCATTACAATTCTTGAGTCTGGCCACTCGTGTCTTCGAATTCTCTCAATCGTAATTATTTTTTTGTCTGTCGTCGTCATCGTCGTTGATAATAATAATTGTAATTGAACTGTGGCATTCAGTGAACATTCGAGCTTCAGACTCAACTCAATCGATTCAAAATAACCGCAAGTGTTTGCTTTTTTTGGTTAGTTACGCAACGATGAATTCGATGCGAGACCGAGAAATAAAAGCCGAAAAAGAACATTATAATCATCAACCAAATTAAAAACCAATAACCGATATTGAGACGCAGTTTTTGTTCGCTGGGGTCAAGTGTTAACAACAAAATCTCTGCTTTTAACTTTGGATATGTCAAACCAGTTCAGTAACAAGTGATTCCTATTAAGCCATTTATAACCGAACGTTCAATTAAAAATTCAACGCATTTTGAATGTCAAATCAATGACAATTCTTCAACTGTTTCTATCCCACAATAGCTGTAATTAGGAGAATCTTTCCATTTCTACGTATTTTTCATATCTTTTTTCGAATTTTAATACGAGTGTTTAGTAAAAAAAATTAGTACGAGCACAACCCAAAAAATTTGATAGCATAATATTTATTTTCTAGCAAATTTTATGAAGGGAAAGTGAAGGAAATTGGGGACACGAGCCACTTCAATTATTCATTATTATTCGACAGGTCAAGGTATTGATGGAAAAATGATTGAACGGGATCTTTTTTCTTCCGAATTTTCCTCAATTGAATAAGGAATGACTCTAGAAACTCCTTTTGAATATAGGGACTTTCGATGACTGATCATATTTTTCCCAGTTTGTCTTGGATAGATTTAATTCGAAAGACTTTGACTCTTATATCACAATAACATTAAGCCTCCTCCAATTCCAAAAAAAAAAAACAGTATAAAATCCAAGACATTTTTAATATCGCGCCACATTTATGACTTAATGTTAATTCTGCGAATCCGCATGTTGTTGTGAGGTAGCTCCTTCGTCCAATTAAATATTGGTTGAAAATATTTGGCAAGGTTGAATATGAGCGCCAAAAGGGATTCGTCTTTCCGTCGATTAAGAGTATTTTGATGAATCCATCGTCGCCGACGTGCAAACGTTCGGCAAATGCCATTAATTTGCCATTCAGTTTGCTTCTTCTTACGTGTAGTAATCATTAAGTAATAAAATCTTTGGAAGAAAACGCAAAAACGTTGTTTAACTGTTTACATATGTTCTCGCGGTAGCTACTTGATAATTACAGCGTTCATTGGGATTTGTTTTAATAGTTTTTGGCCTAATGGCGCTTCGTAAGAGACCTTTTTGCATTAAAAAAAATGTTTATATTCACAGAATTTAGCGGAAAGAATCCTTTCGAAATGAAGATTGCTTTGTTTTTTTTTCTCGTTTTTGTTGTGAATTTAATTGGACTTTAATTATGATTATAAAAAACGGTTAATTTGATCTGCTTCTCTTCCTCTGCCTAAGGGTAGAATGATAGGAACAACGGTGCTCATTTGTAAATGTGTACATTTGGCCGATTTTATTTCAATCGCAAAAGGATCTAAATGATAGAAATGAATCCTATTATTGTGAAAAGCAACAACAATAGTAGAAAAAGTTCGAGGCGATTTGGCGAAGGAAAGAAAAAAAAACACAATCGAAATAAAAGAGAAGCGCGTTGAAGCGTGAACATCATTTGTTGTTGCTATCGTTCGTAAAAGGGAAATGGCAAGAGCTCATTTTCGTGTTGATTCCGTTGAAATTAGTGTGTGATAGAGCCGCACAAATTGGCTGTTGCCTTGAAATGAACGTTTGCAATATTTCCGCTCAAAACCCTTCATAGCCAACATACACACACACACACACACAGAGAGAGAGAGAGAGAGAGAGAGAGAGAGAGAGAGAGAGAGAGAGAATAAGGACAAACAAAACGGTAGCAATTCAATACGAAAATGAACAATATTTTTCGATTTATCTCGAACGCACGATTGTTATCATCATTGAAACATAAAAGCCAATTTCATCAATATTCCCATCGAGTGATTTTTCTTCTGTGTTTCAGCCCGTTTGAAGAAAAAAAAACTCGTATTCGAATGTAGACAGTTGCTTTTCGACGAAAATCGTTCCATTTTCAGCACTGAATATCGTAGCTAAAAGAATAATGTGAATAATTTAATCAGTGAAACGAACCGTTAATATAATATTGTTAGCCAATTTCGAGTATTTTTCTTGCATGTTACGAAAATACATAGAACATTAGCCGATTTAATTTACCAACACAACTTTCAAAAAGTATAGCAAAGAATGTTGGTGGTGCTGTGTTGTGCATGAAAAAGGGGCGCGCACAAAGCGACTGAACCAATTGTTTTCATCGTCTAACTGCCGCTTCTAATGCATTGGGTCGGTCCATTTGCAATCGGAAGATCGCATTCATATTACATCAAAATATTCAATAAATCAGTTGGATTTCCTGCATACATTTCTTTTTTTTCTATGTTGAAAGATAATTTGGCAGTTATTAAGGTTTGCCGCAGGCCATAAAGAGCCGAAAATAACAGGAAAAATCGTTTTATTAACGACTATAAACATATTTATCCTGCAGTGAAATGTCACATGTCGATTTCTTCGCACAAAATGCCATCAATGCAATGCACGGTCACAGGAACACACGAGCAATTAATGCGAATTACTATTTTTTTTTTCGTTTTGGGGACGTTGAGTGACGACAATAATTGCCATTGTTATAACAAATTATATCGCCTGACTGAAATCATTGAACACGAACACGCATTGCATGGGATTCGCTATTGAGACATAAATATTAAAATATTTATTTTTGCCACGCACAGAAGACGGATAGAGAAAAAGAAACGACAAAGAATTTGTGTTCGGACTAACGAAGTGAAAAATTTAAATGAACCCAAACAAAAGGCAACAATGCTAATTTTTGGTTTGAGGCTATTTAAAATGACACTTTGTCGATTTTCAATTGACGGAATAGTGTGAAAACGAGAGAAATGTACTGTTTTAGATGGAGAAAGACAAATAAAATAATATTTAAATGTTTTTTTGACTTGTAATTGAGAGTTGCTGCGACAAAATTATTTCTATTGAAACTGACTTAAGCTATTCTTTACTCAAATGCAACTCTTGCAATTGAGGAATTGCTGGTTCGAACAGTGTCACGAACAATTCATTGAACAAATTGCCAATTCAGCAATTACCCGACGCTGAACATATTGGCCCGCGGTGAAGCGTTTTCAAATCTATTAAATCTCTTGCCACTTCCCATGCATTACATTCCCGCTGTCCAACCGCTCACATTGATTATGTCCAAGTAGTAAATAACGAAAATCGACACTTAACAAATTACATCCACCCAAGTTTGAATGCAACGCCACTGAAGCGTATTAAATGAGGGTGAAAACAATCAGCACAAACTATGGCAAAACTATTCAAACACTCGGCAAATACAATGAGCAATGAGTGAGTGCAAGGGAGATTTATTAGGTACACACGCGTGCAGTGTTTGACAATAGTAAAGTGCAGTCGCGCAAGTCACTTTTCACACTGCAATGCATGCAGCTCGACACATCGATGCACAACGAAGAGTGTAGAGGATATATTTTAGTGAT